AAAAAAATTAAATTAATCGAGAAAACCCCCTTTAAAGGGGTTTTATCCTTAATGTGAGAGTTTTTCAGTAAAAAACTTTATCCTGATAGATAACGAAGTCCCTTAAATGATTGTCTCTGTGCTTAAAATATCTGGATTGTCGTTGGGAGGCGATCAGATTTTTTTTTTTAAGGGGGGGGTTCTGCTCAGCAGGAGAAAGAGGGGGTCAATTTTTTTATTTGTCTGAAAATTTTAAAGGGTTGAGCCACGTTTCCCTAAGTCAAAAAACGGTTTTAAGAATGGGGTTTTTTTCTCCTAATAAGAGCTGAGATTTTTTTCACTTCCCAATACTCCACTTATAAATAGGATCATGGACTGGACATTTTAAGGGGAGGGATGGGAAAAAACGGGGCACGTGCAGTGTATCCCTTTAGGCGGTAGGGAAAAGCGGTATTTTTTTAAAAGTTTGGGGGCGCTGTTTTTCCCGGCTGGGAGAGGTGGATGTGGTCTGGGGTAGTGGTAGGGCATTTGAGTTTGAGGGAGGCTGGACGGTGGTCGACTATTTTCTGATAGGAGTCCGATCTGGTTTGCATCGTTCCAACAGTCTCCGTAACTAAAACAATCCTGTGATCTGGTATTGGTTACTTAAACTTAATTAATTGAACATGGTGTTTGACAGTTGGAGCTTATCACTTTACAGTTACATCACCTTACCTGAATAATTGAATAGGATGAATACTGAATAGCATTTATTAATGCTTTCTTTACCCGGAGAACTCTGTTTTACTTGTCCCTCGGTACACAGACCGTGAGCCGTGACACTTAGTCACAATAATTAAGTCATAAGTCAGAAAGAAGTCCATAATTCGTACACCCATGATTATGTTAAATATAGATTGACTCCAGTCTCCATTGTTCAATGACTTCGTCAAAATGTTTTAGGAAAATGTTCACAGATTTGTTAATTTTGGACTCAAATTAACGTTGAGAAAAACTGAATTTATTTTGGAAAAATCCCGGCTAAAACCAAAATCCCGGCCGGTACCGTACAAAATCGCCAAATACCAGCCGGTATTTCCGGCTGCGCCGGTTATATATCCCGGTCGAGTTCTGTCTGAGACCTAATTTTCTCTATTTTCTCGTGCAATTTTAGATCAGACACAGTCATCTAATTATTTAATAAGAAGGTTTAAATTATAAGCAATTAAAAAAGTTGGACTATCATTGTTTGTGAGTACATATTATACGAATATAAGGAGGTTAATATAATTATAACACATTTAATATAAACATTTAAGACACATTTTTTTATTCCTGCATTGTACTCATTAATTTAACTAGAAAAATTATATAAAAACCACATTTCTATTTGTACAGGGGTTGCTGCTGGTAAACTACCGTCGCTATACATCGACCTATGACTACAATCCTACTTTTAAAAACAACTACCTACATATCTCACATTTGCGAGGACTACTTCATCACAAGCAAAAAATCGACATTGGTAAATAAAGGTAGGTTCTTTTCACTGACTTCGTAAATGTGTACTTATTTTCACACAAATTACGTGCGTGATCATTAAAGGGGTTGCTTGTGTGCAGTTACTTTGGGCCGCGCCACCCTGTTGGGAGTTTTCACATAAGTAAAATTTGCCGATAATACAATTTTACTCATTCTGGACATGTTACCCTATATTATTCATTATACTAGTATTTCTTCAGGTCTGTCTTCTATAACCAACGATGAAAAGAAAAGCTGGGCGAAAACATTTGAGACTGCAGATTGCAGAACTGGAACACTCTATTGAAGACAGTGGCTGCTGAGTGCTGAGCTCATCAAATCTATCAGCATCATGTAACTTCGATCAGGAACAGACTCCTTTCATTTCCGACAACTAGCACCTGTTTCCCTAGACTTACCAAGTACTAAGTAACTGCATAGTATTAGGTTAAATTAAAGGCCCTACATCGAACAAGTCTAACAATTAAAACTTAAATGCAAGAGTGCACAATTTATCACTAAATATCTTCCTCTTTTAATTCTAATCACACACGGTTTCGTCTTTGTTTCACCAATCGTGCTGATAATCAGTAATCATGCACTCTGCACTCTAACTTCGAGAGTTTCAAAAGGGCTCCCGACGAGTTGAATTAGATCAATATTTATCTTTTGATACATAGATACTGATTGGAGGTTCATCATACTATTCTTGTCACATGGTAACGATTAACGATTAGCTGATCAGCTTCCAGCATCGACAGGCCGAAATCATAAATATAATCAGTTGTAATTTAATATTTATCATCGTCCGGATCATCAATAATATTTTAATTTAAAGTTACAATTGAAACGGTGTTAAGAAAGATAATTTAGAGAAATGTTTTGAAAGTGCCCTGATTTCGGGGTATAAACTGTACTGAAACATTAATTTTCAGAAATTTTTATTATAGTTTATTTGTTTTTTTATTTAAAAAAATCCGCCCCAATTTTGGAAGCCATCTGAAAAGCTATTTTCCAGACACAGGCCCTATAAATTTTTTTTTGGGGGATCAAACTCTCAGAAAATTTTTAAAATCAGCCGATAATATTTTTAAAACTAACCCCGGGATTGCATAAGGTTTAAATTTTCTCGCGTCTAGGCATAAACCCTTTTTTTTTGTTTAAACCCTTTATTTTTATTGGGAAAACTTTAGTTTAATGTGGTTACCCTCTCTAAAGTTGGCATTTATTTTAATAAATCTTATTATTATTTCACTGAAAAATGACGCCTTGCCAAAAATTTTTGAAAATAGCCCCTTTTTTTGATAGTTTGAACTAAGTTTTACAACAATTATCTAGTTTGGGTTGAATTTAAAGGGGGAAAAAAATTCCTCCCCTTATCTATTTTGATATAAAAAAAATTCAAACCGTAAAAATGATACTCCTTTTTTTGGGAATTTAAAAAATTTTTTTTCCCTTTGAATTTTTAAAAATATTACCGGGGCACGGGTAAAAAAAAGACATCAGGAAATTTTAAAACTATCGTTAACCCTCACTCAGAAAAAAGCGCGTTCCCTTTAAACGCGTTTTCTTGTTTTTATGCATCAATCCTTCGGGAGAAAACGGGGAGAAGCCCACTGTGCCCCACCACCGAGGCCCCCCCAAGGGTGGGCATCGTGAATCAAACAAAAAACTTGTAGCGCGATGCACTACTGGGTCGCGCGCGCATCTAATATGCTTCTCGCAACCACGTATGCAGATCGGTTCACATAGCCATGTGCCTACGCGTACTCCGGCGGTCGCGCGCTACTGCAAGCGAGAGGGCTCTGGTTAGAGCAAGCAGATCGGCGAGATGCGAAGGATTGACATCGTGAATCAAACAAAAAACATGTACACACGGGTTGACAAATTGTATCTGTGCAATCTTTTAAGCTAATACTTTGTAAATATTTTCAATGTCATGTTGGTTCTTGACCATTGTTAATGGTTTGGCCCGACGCGCGCTACTTCGTAGCACTTGCCATCGGGCGGCCATAAAATTTCGAGAAAAAAGCGGCGCGAAAAGTGGCATGCAACGTATGTCAAGTTTTTGACCTTTTCGTTGACCCAGCACAATATAACACAGTTTCTATACCCCAACGTGACATTTGTCATACGTTGTATGACCCGCCGCGCACGAGTGCGCGGCTCCCCCTGTATCGTCGAAACTATAGTGAAGCGACCGTGGGGGTCACCACGTGATACAACGTGACATATAAGGATCTTTACTATCTATATGTATATCAATGACCGAGCAAAGATGCGTTTGCCAGGTTACCACTTGCCGAATGACTTATTAAAGCAGGATCAGTACCAAACTTCTAGCCTCCAGTGTTTGAGTCCCCGATGATGCATGTGGCATTTCTGTTCAACGAATTCACTGATCTCTAGGCCGGGTGGTATGATGCTGTAACGTAAGCTGCAACGTAGGCTGTAACGTTACTGGGCCGCGCTCAGCCTGTCATTCCGCCTAATCTCTATTCGGTTGTTTACCAACATTAAAGCCTGGGGTCCTCAGGTAAGCTGTAACGTAGGCTCCCTTCTATTTCACCTGCATCAAATTCAATACAATGGTTTCAACAATGTCCCTAATTTGACGTCAAATTCCTCCAAACTAATATTTAGAGGACTAATTCGCCGCTTCGACGCGCAAACTAGCATTCTTGCTTCGCATCGTCGATCGTTGCTCTGCTTCGCAGAGCAACGATCTCGATGGGTTGACATCGTCAATCAAACTAATATAAGCAATTAAAGGACTAAGGAGTAATATCAAATATATAATCAGTAAAGACGCAATTACCTGGGGACCCCAGGCTATAATATAACTATAAGTATAATGTTCATTGTTCATATAAATATAGACAAAAGAGATTCGGCGGATTCGGAATGACTGATGACAGGCTGTACTGGGCGCCGCAACTTCTTCAATAATATAATTCACGGTTACAGGTTATTTTGGGCCGTACACAGTACACAGTTTGGAGTTGTTATTTTCAATGTAAATACTGTACTGAGTTAGAGTTAATTTGTTGTCTTGCAAATGCAATCAGCAATGCAACGAAGTTTTGATATCATCAATCATGATCACTTAATCTGTGATAGCGGGTACAGTAGGTGCAAGTGTTCAATCATCATCCGATTAAAGTATATTAAGTGTAAGATTAACTATATTGCAGTTGCACCAGCATCTTTCACCGCTATTTTACATTTTAATACATTCCACAATCCATGTTCATTGAATGTTGGACAATAGGCATAGGTCTCAAAGCAAATCTAAGATTGGACCGGTCTTTGTTACTTAGTACTTACATGTTAGTCACAATTGAAATAAACAAATGAAACAATTTTTTTCTTTTCAATTTCTGACGAGTGTGTATATGTATGAAGTACGGCAAATAAATTATATACACAGGGACAAAACTGGAAGACCCACCGCACTAACCTAATCCGGCTCACAGAGCTCGCTTACAAAAACATAATAAATCCAGCTTAAAACAAAAATATGTTCAAGGAGGCAAAGGGCTTCAAAGCGTTCTGATCTTTCATAAATATCAAATAATCGGTGATCGGGAACACATATTTATTTACAGTAGGTGCTATATTACGAGTTGAAAAGTGTTCAATGTCAATATGAACAAGTTATCCACTCTTGAAGAGGAGGATTGCAACCTGGCCCAGATAGAAGTAGATGAAATGTTTCGTCTCGTGGGTGACGTAAGAACCGAAGTTTCGTCCCACGATGCAATGCCAGGTTGGGTTGTACTTCTTGTCGAACTCTTTCTTGATGTAGGCGGCAATGTCCTTCTCAATGTTGTACTTCTCTAGGGCCTGAAATAATGTTAAGGGTTATCATTGATCCCATTTATCTGATAGTTGTGTTGACTGAGACCTGTCATGAACCGTAATAGCCTATCAACAAACATTGCAATCATGCTGAGGGTGATCACAGGATTGAGGATACGCAAGAATTATGATGTAAGATCTCACAGAATAAGACTTTACAGATCAGATTACGAGATAAACTAACCTGAGTGGCACACTCGACGGCATCCTGCTGCATATCCTCTGCCATGTCGGCATTCTTGATCACTGCTTTTCGTTCAGCCATGGTATCGTCTTGGCTAAGGATGTATTCGTTAAGAATTTTGAAAATGCAATCTTATCATGAGTAGAAATAATGACATTATTCAAGGAATTTGCCAAACCAAATTATCCTCACTAAATACCAGCAATGATATTTGAAAATGCTACGCCTATGCAATGATCTCACATGATAAATATTTCACAAAGTCGAGTGAAAGACAGCGGATCTAAACATTCAACAATTGGATAAAAATGTCATCATAAATATTAACATGATAATATAATAAATCGTTATAAGCAAAATTCTTATTCTCATCTGATTATAACATGGACCGGCACGGGGTTTGGATTTTAGGTGGGTCGGAAATATCGGAATACATTAAAATGAGCACGGTCTGATAGAGTTTTTCGTTCATGCCAAGTCAGGAAGGCTCGGGAGGGAAAGTAAGACATCGAAAGTAGCAAGTCATATTAGACAGGAATGATTACGTCAGTTTATCCGCTTTTGAAGAGGAGAATAGCGACCTGTCCCAGATAGAAGTATATGAAATGTTTCGTCTCGTGGGTGACGTAAGAACCGAAGTTCGTCCCACGATGCAATGCCAGGTTGGGTTGTACTTCTTGTCGAACTCTTTCTTGATGTAGGCGGCAATGTCCTTCTCAATGTTGTACTTCTCTAGAGCCTGAAAGATGCATTCGATAATCAATTCGATTAAACATCTGGTAAACATCTCCTGCTTGAGAGGCAGGTGTGGTAATATTGGATTTAACTGCGGCGCGCCATCAGCAATAACTCTCATACTACGATTTTTGATCGCATTAGATTTACCCGAATGTACTCAATCAGGTGGTGGCCACAAATAAAATATCGTGAAACTATCAAACAGTTTACAGGAAATAACAGGGGAGAAAATAGGTTGTTCATCAGATGAGCTTACCTGAGTCGCACACTCGACAGCGTCCTGCTGCATATCCTCTGCCATGTCGGCATTCTTGATTACTGCTTTTCGTTCGGCACCAGCCATTGCTAAGAATATACAAATATTAAGGGGGCCAGTTGAGGTGAACATAAAGTGCAAGATTTAAAAGATGATGATCTTGAATGCCATGATTGACAATGCAAACAAGGCACAAACCAGAAATAAGACACAGTAAAAGAGGAAAGCGACAGTAAATATTTAACCAGTGGCGTAACGAAGGGCCCCGCTGACCCCGCTGTGCAGGGGGGCGCCGTCTTAGGGGGGCGCCAAATCGTCGTTTGAATGTGGGGACAATTATGAAAACTTAACTAAAGTACTAGCAAAACTGCGCGTTTTGCTCTAGATACACACTTTTTTAGAGATTTTTTACGGGGTATCCTTTAAAAATCACCTAATTTGTTCAATTTTAGGGAGGGGGCACCAAAAGGGGAGGGGGCGCCAACAGGGGGGCGCCTTTTCGGCAGGGGGGCGCCAACAGGCAACGTTACGCCACTGTATTTAACGACGATGGATCAAAGGCAATTGCTATGTTAAGTTACGGATCAGTTACAGTTAATAGAAGTAGATAATAGCAGCGATATCTGAGTCGTATCCGGGTTCCAGAGAAGAGATTTCTCGTGTTTGGAGATGCTTTGGCCTGACACACAGGAAAGACAACTGTGCACTATCGACTAGAATTAATTAATGATATAGAGCTTGTGGACACAGCTGGTTTTATGGGACTGAATAGACAAAGGATGCTCGACAAATGATACAGAGTACAACGGCTAAAATTTTGTATACTCGCTAGTTGCTATGGAGGTTGCACTCTCATTAGAGGAAATAGAAGCTCGCAACAAAAGCTTGCAATATCGTGCGAGCTCTTGATGCGAGCTTTTGTTCGCGCGCCCCCATTGGTTTTCGGAGGTCACGCGCACCATTCACGTGACTTGAGCTCGCTCTTCTAAATGAGAGTAGATCAGAGCATCATTAAATCCACCGTTTCCATGGCAACAGCGGTAAGCCAATCTGCTAATTCTAAATCATCTTTTCCTATTGGAGACTTAAGAAGCTTTTGACGTCGAGGGAAACCCACGATAAGTTCTCTAGACACAAGCCAGCTTATCAGCTAAGTATCAGTACAAGAGGACCGGTGCGCCTCCAAACGTCATCACATCAAAGTTATGGCCGCGATTTCTCACAATCTTACGGTGACATGCTTACTGGAGTAAGGCCAAGTTACTGTACTTGTAGCTGTCACATCTTTAATATCCGGTGATGCTATTGGCAACACCCAACATTGCTCGATACAGAGACCAGAAGTTAGAAGCTGTAGAGGCTGTAAGCTGTTAACCGATTACTACCATGGTTAAGGTGAGTGGTGATAATGGTTATCTTGGACCTTGGAAAACATCATCTCATATGTCAAGTGTTGCACTTGTCTGGCTGCAAACCTTAGTCTATCACACCCAGAATATCAAATATCTTGATCAACTCAATGCCGAGCCCTTTGACAAGCTTCATTGCCGCAATATAAAAGCTTACATGTTTAAATCTAAATTCAACTTGTTTGCTCGATACTGCAAGCTGCACTGAATAATTTGTGATTCAATAGTTTTTTCAACATCATGCAACTGTTGTGATTCTGGATTGAATAAAGTTTTAAGTAAGCCCACTAAGCTATAGCATGAACTGCATTTCGACGAATTCACTCAGAAATTATTAACATGCGAAATGATACATCGGGGCGTAGCTAGGGGTAAGAGCACTGGAATGAATGTACAAGGCATCATTTTGTACTAAGCTCATATACTGCCATGATCAGGTTTAGTTCGAGATCATAATGATACATTCATAAATCAATTGTTCAATTAAGAGCAAGAAAATTAGGTTCTAAGTCGAAGTCAAATAAACTAAAGACAATAGTACGGTAAAATATGTTTAGCTTTCCCTCAAAAAGAAGTACCAAAACACTCAAAGATTTCCAACATGAACAAAATGCGAAACACCTGATTTGACATGTCGTAATATCCTTTAAAATATCGGCTTACGGATGTGGATAAAATTTGCTTGACAAACTGTGTTAACTCATCCGCCCATAGTCAAAACCATGACATAATATAATTCCTAAGCCTTGAAAAGGAATATTACTAAAGTCAGAACAAAAATCAAAATTAAACCTAAATTCTTTATTCTTAAACAAAAGCAAAAAATACATTTTGTGCATTCACAAAATTCATTACTCCCCTAGACCGATGTTTCGAACATCCCCAGAACTAACTAAATCAGAACTCATCACGACTTCATCTTCAACTGATATGGTATCCCCAACATTCTCGATACACTCCGCTGTCCTATTTTCAGACACTTCACTTCTGTCATTAGCGTTAAACGTTGTGTTATCATTTTCAAGATTTTCGCTATGTAATTCAACAGAGTGAACATTATCTGATGTTTCTAGCTCGTTGTTGATTGTTTCGAGAGGTAAATCTGGAATAACACTCGCTATTTCAACTTTTGAGCTTTCGTGAACATCAGTCGTCTCTACAGCATCTGTTTGAGCATCACCTCTACTCTCGCTTTCTAATAAGTCTGTCTCATTATTATGATCCATATTTTCTGTCTCTGTTTTTGATTCCAGCTCATTTTCTACTCCTTCATCAGGAACTACAACCTGGTCTTCTGATTCACCACCAATAGTTCCACTGTCAGAGTTAGGAACTCTACCCTGACCTTCAATGTCAGAAATTGTCATTTCTCTCTCATTATCAGAAACAATAATTTCATTTTCATTGACAATATCAGAAATTATATTATCACCTTCATCATCAGGAACTCCTCTTTCGCTTTCATTACTAGCAACATCACGAACAGTCTCATTTTCAGGGACTCTTCTTTCACTTTCAATATCTGAAACTGTCATTTCGTTATCAGGAACAGTATTTCTATTTTCGTTGTCAACATCAGAAATTATATTATCACCTTCATCATCAGGAACCCCTCTTTCGCTTTCATTACCAGCAACTTCAATTACATTTTTATTTTCATCGTTAGAAACAGGAAATTCGATTTCATCATCAGGAAGTTTATCGTCACTTTCTTCGCCAAGAATTCCACTTTCTGTTTCGTTTTCAATCTCAGCGTTATCTTCAGTATCAGCAGTTTCCTCGCTCGTTCCGTTCTCGACAGAGAAAGGTTTGTCAGCCAGTAGGATCTTAGTTGCTGACGAGAGAAAAGGAAGGAGTTGGTCCTGCAGAGCGACTAGGTCCAAGGAGAGAAGATTCTTGTCCATATACCTGCGACGAAAATGATCAAATTAGAAAGATATTTCGAGAATTTCAACTTAAAAAAGATAACCAAATATCCTTTGAAGAGTGATTTTTCTGAAGACAGGACGATAAACTTACGTTTTTCCAGAAAAGGATCGATGTTTGTACAATTCAGGTAGTGTCTTGAACACAGACTTCAAATAAGAATCGATCATCGGTAACATTTCCAGAACTATGATCGTACTGAACCTCTCAGCTATCTTTGGTTTTGACCTAAAAAAGTAGTTTGAAATAGTTTGAAGATGTCAGTACGATTAAATATATTGAAACGAAAGCGATTGAAACTTTTGAGCCATTCATGAAATCGATTACAGATATATAAAATGTCTCTAAAAGGCTGACCAAAATGTTGTCGTAGTGAAACAAACTCACTTGAAGATCCCGACAGTCAAGTCGATGACAGTTTGCAGTGAGGTCTGCAGCGTCTGCACAACGGTGAGGCAGATAGAGACAGGGGCACAGTGTCTCAATTCGTTAAACATGCTGGCAATTGAGTTGGTGTACACAGCCAGAGGAGTCAGATTCACTAGTGTTGGTTCCCCTGAAGCATGTGAGTTTGAAATTGGGTTTTAACTATTTTCGTTATTAGATAGTACACCAGGCCTCTTGAAGAAAGTTAATTGATGACTACGATGTATGGCCAGTATATAATATAATGAGGGCAATTTTAAATTTGCTTACTAGTTGAAAATTGTATTCGAATAAGTCGAGAAAAGTTGAAACTGCAACAAATTTTGTGTGATTAGCTTGCTGTTTAGTTATATTTACAATATGGAGTGCCGATAAAATATTCTTACCGTGGTAAGCCACATCAAGCAAAGTCTCGCATTTTCTCTTAAACCTATCAGTTGCTTTCTGAATAGTCTTCAAACACAACTCTAGTATTCTCTGTTGGAATATCGGGACCAGGGCTCCTCGGAAATCTGTTCCTACTCTTCCTGATAGTTAATTCTGGTAATCTATTAAATCATTACGATCACTATAAAATATCAGAACTTGCAACCTGATTAAAACCGGTTAACAGCTGATGGTGGCTTTAAACGATGCACTTAAAATAAATAACGTCTGACTTTAAAACAAAAATCTTTCAAACGGGAAATCCACTAAACCATGTTAACTTAATAATATGAAGTTGCTCTTACCGAGTGACATGCCAAAGTACATAGCTTGCGCTAGAGTTGAATCCAGTATGGCACCGTTACAGCGTGGTAGATTTTCGTTCAGAATTCCCAGGAAATATTCAACCTAGACAATGTTATGTAAAACAGTTGATGATATCGAGTTTAACATAAAAGTTGGCTGGTCATGTCTGGTTCAGAGATGTTTGCTTTGCAGCTACTTTTTGGTACCATAGCATGATAGCAAGCAGCGCATGATGATTATTGGAAACGCGCAATGTTAGAGCGCGCGCAATTCTGTCACCGATCTCGTTAATTGGTCATCTTTGTTTCACCTGATATAAAGTTTGGCGCGTCACGTAAACTAACAGAAAATTGAGGACAGTAAACATGCCACGCAGATCCTTCGGGGGCCGATCGGAATTAGCATCTCTGAACCGTGAGAAAAGATTCCCTAGATATTTTTAAACATACAGATCCGGCTGAAAAGGACCTCCCTGGCCCCGTCAAGGATCTAGCCCACAGTCAATAAAAAGATCTCATTTTAGTTCCTTAGTTCCTACCTGTTTATGAAGCCAAGAGTTGAAAATTAAACTTGTAGCTTTATCCTCAATGAAGACTGATCTGTACTGAGTTATAATGTCGAATAAGTTGACTCTGTAGCTGTCTATCATCTTACACATGTAATACTGAACTGAAATATAGAATTACGTTTAAAAATAAAGCATTAGAGTCAGAATTCTCGCTCCATTGGTAGGATATAATTTCTTGTGCGTTTAACCATTGCAAATTATTCTCGAAGAAAGACATCTACCATGTAAATATGCGAGGGACGATTATGATATAAACTTACTTTCTCCTTTATTTAAGTTATCAATAATCCCTCGAAACCACTCTGAACGTACTTGCAGAAATTTCACCTGCAATATTTATATTCTAAACTGTGTACTTGTAACAATCAAGGAGAAACTACCAACAATAAAGCTATAATCTCTTATGCGGTACTTGGAAACCGTGCATATTCCCCAACGGTTGTGCTTTAAGAACTGGAACTTTTAGCCCTGATAGTCGAATAGTTTACATAGTCGCATTGTGACGACTATAAATACTATTCAGCACACAATCAAGCGTTCGTCAAGTCGTCAGTAAAAGAAATAATCGTGAACAATAAGAAACAAAACATGACAATCAGACAAATAACTCAAACAATGTAAACCTCTAAACCTCTAAACCTCTAAACCTCTAAACCTCTAAACCTCTAAACCTAATAATAACCTTAAGCTGAGTGTCAGTATAAGTTCCAATTCTCCTCAACAATCCGACACTCTTCAGACACTGAGCTAATGTTATCTGTCCTTGTAGCTGTTTTATCAAGATGTCTTCCATGTGCTTTATACACGCGTCACTATCTTCTTTGATCATCTGACAAATAGTGTTGAGATGGAATTGATAATATAAGGATGACCAGATGAACAATTTTAAATGTGAATGAAAACAAAACCATCTAATCGTTTCCCTAAACTTGGCAAAAAGAATATAACACGTGCACATACATAGAGGCATATGTTGTAGACTCTTGGCATGGTTAATCAACATATTTGGAATATCATGTTGCAATATTTGTTTAATTTGCTAAACTAAAATTACATAAAACCTGAATGATAGGAATGTCATTGTATTTAACGGCTAAGTTGTTAACGAAACTATGCAGTTCCAACCCCTCCTCAAAGTAACTGTTTCTAATGCTGGTGTCTATAAGCTGAGGTAGTTCCAGTATCTCAAGTAGTTGGGGGTGTTTCGAGATGCTGATATTTGCTTCTTTTCTCCTGGTGGAGAAGATATTGTTATAGGTTATTATGGTAGGAGAGATATCGTTATTCGTTACAGTTTACTAATCGGTTGTAGAGATTTCCCCTAACGTGCTTAAGATTTTGATTCCACCACCAGTAAACATTTTGATAGATTAAACCACCAGTAGACTTACAATTTGTTAGTTCCCAACGGTGTCCGACCATTATGTTCCCTATAATCTGGCCCCCATAGGGAACAATCCGTAACGATTAGTTGATGATGTTTTCCATGGAGTTCTGTTTTGTTGCCACCTTTGTTTGAGAAGCTTAATCGATACTATGTATGCTAAGTACCAAACAACAAGTGGGAGGTGGATCGTTGGTATACCGTTAAATCGATTTAACACCGCAATTCCAGTCGCAAGCCTGGGACCACTACTAGCATTGTCACAACATCTACAAAGCTGCCATATAGCCTGACTGACAATTTTCTCGACTGACTGACAATGTTTCTTCTTTTCCCCATTTAGAATACAAAGATTAGTACATTTTAGCTTATGATTAATATTATATTTTTACCTATAGTTTACCTAGATGTGGACCATAACTGAACTTCAACAAACTACACATTTATTGGCAACTGTTATTGTTTCTACTTGTCCTTGTTAAATAACTGCAGATAAAACTTGAAGAATTGAAGGACACCAGTCTTACACAAGTATAATATGTACTTGAAAATTAAAACGTATCAACACCATCTAATTATGGAAAAACAATAATTTGATAAATTCCTGAGTATCAACAGTTGTCAACTTTAAGAACAATAGTCTTCCATATAATAGGCCACCAGTTTACTTTCATTTTGTTAATTTTCACCGCCAGTTTACTCACATTTTATTAGTTTCCACCGCCAGTTTACTTACATTTTATTAGTTTACACCGCCAGTTTACTAACATTTTATTAGTTTTCACCGCCAGTTTACTTACATTTTATTAGTTTACACCGCCAGTTTACTAACATTTTATTAGTTTCCACCGCCAGTTTACTTACATTTTATTAGTTTACACCGCCAGTTTACTTACATTTTATAAGTTTACACCACCAGTTTACTTTCATTTTGTTAATTTTCACCGCCATTTTACTTACATTTTATTAGTTTACACCGCCAGTTAAATTACATTTTATTAGTTTACACCGCCAGTTTACTTACATTTTATTAGTTTCCACCGCCAGTTTACTTACATTTTATTAGTTTCCACCGCCAGTATACTTACATTTTATTAGTTTCCACCGCCAGTTTACTTACATTTTATTAGTTTCCACCGCCAGTTTACTTACATTTTGTTAATTTTCACCGCCAGTTTACTTACATTTTATTAGTTTCCACCGCTAGTTTACTTACATTTTATTAGTTTCCACCGCCAGTTTACTGCACTTGTACAACGTATCCTGTAGCTCGGGAACAGTTTCAATGACACTGTCCAAGTTTACCTCCAGCCCGTCAAACGACTGCCTGATATCACTGCTACACTCTGCTGTTGACACGAAGGATTGGTAGTGTTTGAACGCTAAGTTTTTCTGCTCTGTAAGCAGTCTCCTTTCTTCATCCTCCCATTTCTCCTTTTCTCGGCCTGATAATTATCATACATGAATTTAAAATAGATTGTTTTATATTCTTACGATTCAATTTCCACAGTATTGATATTATTTATCCTGTTGATCCAGATCACGATAAATTGATTTCACAACATTTCGTCTTTAGATAAGAATCTTTAATTAATAAACTTATTCTAAGAATCTTTAATTAATAAACTTATTCTCGTGTGAGCAATATTATGTAGTATCCTGACTTACTGAATTTATCAGAGGTAAGGTTGCATATTACGTTAGTAAAGTATTCTTCAAAGCCTTCAAAGTTCTGCCAGCTATCTGAACAATGGGGCATTATTTTTTTACTGAAACTTTAAAAGTCGTTGAAATCAAATCTACTTATTCAGACAGACATGTTCTAAATTTCAGTAAATTAATTTTAACCAACAAAACGATAGATCCATGTTCGAATTCGCTATCTTTAACACACAATCAATTTTTTACTTACCTTTGAAGTAGTCAGCAAAAAACTTCTGGTATCTCGAATGAGAAGACATCCTGTACATAAATTTGATATCAGATAATTCAGTCGAAACAAGAGAACAAATATGGATAGAATTTTGTGGGTTATGACTTTTAATCGGGATAAAAAGCTCGCATGCTGTGTTGTTATATAACTTGTAAGCCCATGAAAGTGCAATAGAATGTCATGTCCTCTAAATCCTGAAAAGATAACGTTAGCAGACAGTTGTCCTTTTGGTTTTGATTGTCCTTTATCTCAATATCAAAACAGTAGAACACATTTTCAGTTAAGCCTCATAGGAAACCTTCTGTAACTGTAATGTGACTTGTTTTGTAGCCCACATAACATATAAATACGGTAAGTCTCATCTTTGTCTCCTCTATTGGGATTTTTTTTGACGGTCCTGTTTTTTATGTAGCCTAATAAGTAATAACGTTAATTCTAACGTTAATGTTTTTAGGCTCATTCGGTTCTTGTACTTGTACTTGAAAATTTCTCCTCCTAATCGTTGGAGTGGCCTGCATATTACGCTTTGTTGCTTCTCTATAAATAACTCAAATCACCGTCGAAGTACTTTTAATTCCGTTTTATTCTAAATTGAATAAAGACAAGTTGTCATAATGATATGCTAAAGAAGTTGTTTCACTGATGTAAATAGTAAGCAAACTGGACAAAAGAAACTGCAAGCTGACCAGCTTACACAGTACCTGTGTTCTAGGTTTTCAGTATTTTGTTTGTTACATTAGTTTATAATGTGACATATGTTTACCTAGTGCTGTGCATATCAGATTGGTTATGTAAGAAGATGAGTGAAGATGTCATCCTCGGAGCAGTATGAGCTGTACGATGATGAGGTGTCCGCTTCTAAAGGTTTGTTCTTAACTATTCGATATTGTTCACAGTTAACTGCTGTTTCTATCGAATATAAACAAGGTGCATCCCACGTTAGATTCCTAGATTTTGACTTCCGTATAAATGTTAAAATACTGACACAATACGTCTTGTATTTCTGACCCCGTAATCCAATGGCTCAGGTATTCTGCACCGAGGAAATGGACACGAAAACCCAGTAAAGGGATTCAAACATGACCCCTGTAGTGAAGCAGTGTTTTGGATCATTGTTGTCTTCTCATTTGGGCTCTTCTATTTGGCATACATATTCTTTAAAGGTTAGTCACGTGACAAAACAACTGACTAACAAGACTTAATGTTTTAAGTGAATCGTGCTATACATGGTGAATTAAGTAACATTTAAAGTGAATTTTAACTGAGAAATATTGATGCTCTTCTTCTGTAACTTGATATAAAGGTACATTATTTCAGTATACTCGCCTCATTGGGCAATGCACATCCGCTACAAGTCAGTCTCCCTGGACCAAGCAGTGTTAGTTTTAGTACTAGACGTGGTAACAAACACATACACAGCCTGTGAAATTAACACTGTCAAAATAGAACATTCATGCGATAACTACACTGCCTTGTCCGGCAGCGAAGATGGTAAGAGTTGTGCCAACTCAAGCCGAGATTACATGAACAGAGCTGGGAAAACAAGGCTAAACAGCATTTGTGAGGTCACTGAGCTGAAATACTTAACATTCATATACAGTCGGTACATTTTCAGCAAGCCTTTTAACTCGTTCTATCCCCTAACTGGGCTTGATGGCGATAATCCCCTCAAAAGACCAGAGATATCACTGGATGGCCTCAGAGCAGATGATGTGTTAACCCTGCAGAAGGTGTATGGACCAAACGAGATGAAAGTTAACAGTGAAACTTATCTAGAAATATTTGCTAAAAACATAGTAGATCCGTTTTATGTGTTCCAGTTGTTTACCATAACAGTGTGGGTGTGGTCCGGCTACTACATCTATTCAGCTCTAGCAGTTCTTATCTCTGTTGTAATAATCTCTATTGCTCTGAGAAAGAAGAAGAGGGAGTTTGAGAAGCTTGAGAAAAACTTGGAAGTTGAGAATTCAGTGACTGTGGTCCGGGATGGTTGCGAGTACTATGTGTCCCATACAGAACTTGTACCTGGAGACATTGTCATTTTAAACAAAAGTTCACACTACTTTACGTTTGATGGTATCCTTGTCGAGGGTTCTGCGTTTGTCGACAATGCTCTTCTCACAGGCGTCACTAGACCCAGTTATCGGTATCCTGATCCAGATGTTCTCCTTCAAGAGAGGCTGGAGAAACTTACACTGACAAACCACAACAACACCATATTTGCAGGTACAAACATGATAACACCTCAGTCGGAAGGGGACGTTAAGGCACTTGTTGTGAACATAGGATTCCTTACAGAAAAGGGGTGTGCGATACGGGAGGAATCCTGTGAGAACTATTCGTATTCCCTTGATAAAGACTCTATGACATACTTCAAATTCCTAATAGTAATAGGCACAATAGCATTCTTTGTAGCACTGCTAGTACTATTGTGGCTACCTGATGAACCTATGGAGGGTTTGGTAGCTTTACAAGCAGCTCTGAGACTTGTAACGTTAGCCATACCTCCATCTCTACCACTTGCTTTAACCATCGCCTTCATGTGGTCAATGAGAAGACTGGCTCGGGAGATGATAGCAACACGAAACTTTAGAAGGATACCTGTAGCAGGCCAAGTAAATAACATAGTATTTGACAAAACAGGTACCCTTACAAAGAACAAAGTAAAATACATCGGACATCTGGCAGTGTACCGTGAGAATTCAGAAATTCAGCTGAGTGGGATAGACACTTCTACTGATATATCAGAGGGAGATATTCAGTATCTAATGGCAACATGCCACTCTGTGACCCCTGAATCTATGAAATCCAAGGAACACACAATTGATAAAGAGTTGTTTAGGGTGGCTGAGTGGGACATGGTGAAAGGCGAAGATGGAAACTTAAAAGTGTATTCTGGTAAGCTTGATAATCTAGGTGAGTTCAAGATAAGCTTTCTGAGGAGATTTCCGTTTCACTCAGACAAAAGGACTCAGAGTGTAGTAGCAGAAATCGAACATGAAAATAGGGTGGCCTACTACATTAATGGAATGCCTCAAAGGGTAATCGAATGCTGTAAACCAAAAACGGTTCCTCCTTTCACGCTGCAAAGGATACAGGCTTTTACGAAGCAAGGTTATATAGTAACAGCAATGGCTTACAAAAACCTTAAGGAGGACAAGGGACGACACAAAGATTTGAAAGATTTACAAAAAGATCTGGTGTTCCTTGGATTACTAGTATTTGGGGATACACTGGCAGATGGAGCTAAAGAAGTCATCAGATCTCTGAATGCAGCTAGCTTTACAACACTGATGTGTACTGGAGATAATCTGGATACTGCTGTATACACTGCACGACAAATCAGCATCTTACCAAGCTCCAAAGAAGTGAGGGAACAGGATAGAGTCGTGGAAATCAAAGCTTCTTTAGATAAATATGGGGGATTAATAGTGGAAGCTCGAGACTATGATGATGGTTCAGAGTATAAACTTTCCTCTGCTTGGGGAGATTACTGGGATCCTCCTAGTTATGTGATCAATGGTGAAACTTTTCAGATATTAGATGACTTCGGGGGCACTGAATTAGACAGAGTGATCCAGGCTGGTAAAGTTTTTGCTGAAATGACACCAAAAATGAAGAAACATTTAGTACAGCTCCTAATGAAAATGGGGCATAAAACCTGCATGGTTGGAGATGGGTCAAACGATAATGCAGCTCTTCAAGCAGCTGATGTTGGAATTTCTCTCAAAAACTCAGAGTCTGGCATAGCAGCTGAATTCTACAGTATAGAAAAAGATATCAGATCAGTTCCAGTTTTACTAAATGAAGGGAGAACAGTTGGATCACAACTACTAACCATCTTCATGTTCACGGCTTGCTATTCCATCCTAGGCATGGTTGCAGAATCATTGATGTACAGCTTTTTCTACGAGCTTAGTGAAGCTGAATGGATTTATATTGATCTGATATTGGTCATGAGTATTGATCTCATGTTGGGTTACAGTGAGAGTCGGGAGACGATATCAACTTCAAGACGTTCCAGTCGGTTCTTCAATTCACTGAGACTATTCTCAATGTTCTGTTTCCTGTCAGTTTGTATTGCAGTTCAAATATCGTTCTTACTTTACCTTCTGGATCAGCCTTGGTATGTTCATGTTGAGACAACGTTAAGTGAGTTGACTGAAGGATCCATGGAGGCAACTTACATATTTCTACTGATCATATTTCAAATGACTTTTCCAGCGATTGTTTACACAATGGATAGAGAACCAGTATTCAAGAATAGATTTATGCTGAGCTTGATTGCAGTTCTGTACACTGTGAACACTTACTTTGACATTTTCCCTGACAAACTAGTTATCCAAATATTTGAATTTAACGTCGCTCCATCGATGTGGTTCAGGGTACAGGTTATCTTAATCTCATTAGCAAATTTACTGATAAACATTATTGTAGAAATTATTTTTATAATTAATAGACCTAAGAATTAGCTAACTGATAATGCGAGAGAGTACCAAAGTTTGCGACTTTGCTTGCAGGTGCTTAATATTTTTTACTAACATTTTGATTTAAATAGATCTTACTTATATAGTATGCTTTACAAATCACAGCACTTGTATAATAAACCTGTTCACTTTATAACTGTCACCAGTTAACGATGGGAAGAGTCTCAGGAATAAGTAACAATATGTTTTCAAGTACAGAAATATTTTCATTTGAAATAATCAACGATTATATCACCGTTCTGCATTAAGAGGTTTTTAAAATAAGATGAATCAATCAAACCAAATCATTTCGTATCACAACTATGATCTTAGTACAAAATAATTGCAAAAATGTGTTACAAAAATACTAAATATTGACTTCAACAATAAACAATCAAAATGGATAAACATGAACTCATAACTGATAAGGCATACATAACAACATAAAGCCCTTTTTGAGAAAGGTCACTGAGCGTATCACATACAATTAAAAATCAACATACACTAAATAACAGGCTAAAAATCTTCAAGAAGTAAAATAATAATACAACTTAATTTAAGTATAAAGTTCTGAAAAACTGTTCACAAAGCATCAAAAACTGCTTGCTAAAATCAATTCACTTATTTTAAAATAGAAAAAAAATACAAAATATTTTCCAGAATTAAAAACTAATATTGCCATTTACACAAAATCAATGGGCTGTATGACTATTTTATCAAATTATTGACAAAACAAAACCTACAATTTTCATCTTAAATTAATGATGACTGTGATCTATCTATTTGTTCCCCAACTGATAGCCAATCTTATCTCCGAGTTTGCGGATCCGTTCGTGTGTCTGCACAATATCGTCATAACTTAAACCATAAGTAAAAGTAGCTAATTCATGAAAATACGGAAACACATATGCCATAAAACGGTTAGATTTCACACTGAAGATAGGATAATCAACATTACGTGGGCGAGTGAGAGCAGAGGATACAATGACATCAGCACATTCGTCCACCTTTCCCTTGAAGAGGTCAGGGATGAGAGCAGTATCAGTCTCGGAAGAGATCAGAGTGTCCATCTCGGGAGTCAGTATCAATCCCAGAGTGAATACAGTGAGAGTTATGGGAGATTGTTTAGCAAGTAGTTCCTGCTGGAGACTGTAGAAGAAGCCGTTAACAGCGTGTTTTGTAGAGGTGTAGAGTCCAGCCTGGTAGAAGGGGCACCATCCAGATATTGATCCAGTCACCTGGATCTGACCTGATGTTATCTCTAGATCTGGAAGGAAGACCCGGGTTAGTTCTATATAGCTCAGCACATTAATGTTGAAGGTGCGTGTAGTGAACTGGTGATCTTGCTGGTTTGGTAGTGCTATCCAAGGTCCTAGTGGAATAGCAGCATGGTTCAAAACAAGTGTATCAATACTAGAGTGAATCTCTAGCACATTATTTCTAAAGTTTTCTATTCCAGTCAGTTTTGAGAAATCTTGTGGGATTATGTGGACAGATGAGGCTCCCAAGGTAGAACATTTGGTTTGAACCTTAGCAAGTCTGTCCAAGCTTCGAGCGCTGAGAACAATTTTTGCACCAGCTGCAGCATACTTGTATGCTATCCTTTCTCCGATTCCTGATCACGAAAATCATTATAACATTTTTAAAAAAATATCCTAATCTCTTTCTATGGTAATAGTGCCTTAAAATTCACTTTATCTTCTAGTCTAAAACATCACTGATTACTGATTATGTACTCACCAGAGGAGGCACCACATATCACTATCACCTTGTCTTTTAGCTTCTCTCTGAGTTGCAGTGTCGAGAAGTTAGGGTTCTGTACCAGATAAACTGCTAACACTAAAATTAGTATCGTGACTCCTAGTAGTTTCCTCTTTTCCATCACCCTACAATGAACATTGACCATTAACATTTGGCAAAAAATAAAAAGAATCCTGCTAATTTAATAGCAAAAAAATAAATGGCCAACCGTGCGTTGTGTCAGCTGTGTTTTAAGTGACCGCTGCTGGGCCATAATTCTCAGGTGGATGGGGGGGGGGGGGGGGGTTGATCCCCCTAAGATTTTGGCCAAAAATCTTCTTTGTAGTTCAATAATAATAAAATAATAAACTATAATTGAGATAATTGAAAAAACAAAAAAACAAAACTGCATGGTGTAAAATTGATCTTTAAATAAACTGTGGTAATGTGATATACTACTTAATTTAGTTATATATCGATACTACCCACAGTAAATGTTTATCGATATGTTTTATTTGCTCAGGGGATGGTCCCACACAAGATACAGTGTAACCATAAAGATGCTTAATCCACGGTGTCCAATAATTGAGAAAAGAAAATTTTTTGAGAAAAGACAATTTTATTATTTACGGGTAAACCGCCCCTAAAACGTCACCTGTTTTTTGGGCCCAGATTGCCGAGTTAGGGCTAAATTTACAGGGTTCTGAAGTGTCTAGGAATAATATTTAAACCTTTTTCTAGCCTGCAAGGAAGATTTGGAAATTTGAAAATAAAATCAGGTACAATTTTTTTTTGACGTTGAAATGGAGTCACTTTTAAAACACCACCCCTAAAATGTCAACTCTATATAATGTGTGATAATTACAAAATGTACAGGAGGCCTGATTTATCTTTTGTCACTAGTACTATTTGTTTTGTCTTATTAAAACATTAAGCTACTTGAAAACATTCACTCACTAAAGGAAGTACCTCAAAACCGTAATCACCCCCTAAAATGTCACGTGCACCACCCCTAAAACGTCAGCTAAAACAGGTTGTGTAGCACTCAGAATGTTGCTCAATTATTAATTTTAACCACTTCTGGGACAAATATAACCTATTTCTGAGAGGTGTCGACCAGAATTTCTCTCTCTGTTGAAAAAAAATGGTGGAATTTAGTCAATTTACTTTTTGTGACATTTTGGGGACTTTTTTTTAATACCAGAACTTACGGCAAAACAGTAACTCAGTCAACAAAATTTACACCTGTAGTTAGATTATCTAGTTATAAACTAACAATTGGCACAAAAGAAATGGATTCAATGTGATTTTAACCTTGTGCAAATTGCATGTTTTAATTGCATTTTTTGGGATTTTTAACATCATCCTGCATCTTGGCAATTTTAGTGACCTGTAGTTAACTAAGCCAACCCAGTAATCGATCTGACCTTCTCTATAGACTAGATTTGACTGCTTTTAGCAAAATTGAATGTCAAAAACTACGGTTTTTTGGTACTTACTAGTTTATGGTAAACCTATGATATGCCCCCTAAAATGTCATTTTTTCTCCCCTAAAATGTCAAATTTGTATTTTGTTCGCATGGTGTGCGATAATAGCTCTTGTTTTGGCACTTGTTAATTATTAACATCAACTATAATTAACGAAATGTGAGTATGCATTGCATCTTAGGAAAAGCCTAAGTAATTTGATCAGGTTAAAATGACATTTTAGGGGGGATAATTAGACATTTTAGGGGATGTTTATTGCGATTAATAAAATAAAACTAATTCCTTGAGCTGCCAAAGCTTTCCAATATTACCATTAGATGTTAAATATGATGTTTAATAGGCTGGTACCTCCATTTTATGCTGCTTGTAGTCTCAAAGCCAGAATCTGATAAAATGACATTTTAGGGGGCGGCCAGGTGACATTTTAGGGGAGGGTAGTAATATTGACTAATGTATAACTTTCCATATCTCCAGTCATATGTACAAAGTTGCTAAAATATGTAAATATCACTATCCTAGACCAAAACTGAGTTAATATTAATGAATTCCAGAGTTATAAAATTGTGCGCTTTTTTTTTCAAAAGTAAAAAATTTGTACAAAGTGAAAAAAGTGCTCTTATGGCATCATTTAGATTCAATTTCAGGATGTGGCAGGGTCTGAATGATATTTTTTTATGTTTAGGAGTTACAAATGATTAGGTAAGATACTTTCTAAGAAGATGGGATCCAGTCAATCAAGAGTGGCGTTTTAGGGGTGGGTGACATTTTAGGGGCGGTTTACCCGTAATTAGACGGGTATCTACTATCTACTATCTAAAATTGCTTCTAGATACATAAGTACGAGATGATTTCTAATTGCTGAAAATTCACAATTTAACTCAAAAAGTCAAAATTGGCAAACCAGAGCTACCAATGGTCCATTGCTACCAATTCAGTTAAACAAAAATTCAGTTTAACAAAATTCAATTTTATGCCATTCATTACAGAGTAAACAAGTTTACAATAAATCAATTTGATATTTAAAGGAATCCTAATTCAATGTGTAGTATGGTTGTCACTCTTTAAATAGATTAGATATAGGTTGACGGGGCAAAGGAGTGTGCGTGCTGTTCGCTATTGCTCACACCAAACGGCAACGTAGTAAATGTTTTGTATGGACACCGGTCTCCATCACGATACAAATTTAGGATTGTAGAATTTATTGTATAACTTTTAGTGCAGTGGAGGTAGCGGTGTGGTGCATTAATAGTGACAGCCGTGAGCATAATGGGTATATTTTTGGACCTAAAGGTTTTAGTATGGCAACTTTAAAATTGGTTCTTTTAATCATTTATTAAATATCAGTTTAAAAATATATAAATCTGGAATCAATTTTTATACTGGGGTGGGAGATAAGTGCAAGTATTATGGAATACTCGTGTATCTGTACACATATGGTACACACTGTCTACCTGTAATACACTAAATATTAGGTTAAATACATAGGTGGTGGAGTCAGCACTCATTTACCAAAATCAAAAATTGTGGAATCTGTTCACACTGTGAACCAGTCCTATAAAAATTTCAAAAATCCTCTTAAATTAAATATTAAAAATGTCTCAATAATGGAAATAGTCATACAATTAATAAATCTACAAAATTCTTAATATCTTTATAATCACCGGGTCGAAACAATTCGACAGACATGGTCGACTTGATACACTTCATCTTAACAAGTTAGGGGCAAGAGTCCTTGCTGGACTCATTAAACAATCTGTATTTATTAGGTTAAATGGCGGAGAAGACAGAAGAAAACACATCGGCAAAGTCAATGGACGGCTATACAGCAACGTGGCTAGTGGCCCGCCTGCACTGCAGCGGAGGGGACGGAACGGTTAACAGGTATGGTTAATCGTGTTCAAAAGGAAATTTGTAGTCACTGTCTGAAGAATATTAGATTAGGGCTTCCCCACTTTGAATGTTTTAACTGCAATAGTATTCTCCATGCCAAATGTTTTAATCCTTCCAAAGCGCAAGTTATCAATGACAACTTTTACTGCAACGAGTGTAAACATTCCATATCTAAAAAATATAATCCTTTTAAAGTAATGACCGATCCTGAAGTTAATGACTGTGACCCATGTATCCAAAAGATGTCCGATGCTTTGGAAAACTGTAGATCCTATACAATTAAGGACTTTAACACACATATCAAACCGTGTTTTGCAAGCAACTGCTCCACGATTTTCCAGAACATAGATGGTAATAAAACAAATTTTGATGCCTTTAGCATGGAACTAAACCGATTAGCCGAAAAATTTAAAATTATTGGACTTGCTGAAACCAATATTGGAATAGAGGAAAGCACTGTCTACCATCTAGAGGGGTACAATTGTTTCTATCAGGACAAACATATCAATAAAGCAAAGGGAAGTGGAGTAGCATTGTACTTAAAGGACGAACTTAACGGAGTTGTAAACGAAGAATTATCATGGGTAACCAAAAATCTTGAAACCCTATTTATTACTATTCAACATGATGAACCTGTACATGTAGGAGTACTGTACCGTCCTCCTAGTGGGGACTCCTCAGAGGCACTAAATGAACTTAGAAAAATTATTGAATCATGCCCAAAAAAGAATGTTTACATACTAGGTGACTTTAACATTAATCTCCATGATGAAAACAGTAAACTTGTTCAAGACTTTGAAAACCTTATTCTAGGTCTAGGTTTATCACCACTTATTTCTACTTCCACGCATCATAAACCAGGATGTAACGAATCATGCATTGACAACATACTCACCAACAACATAGAGAACTCTATCTGCTCTGGAACAATTAGTACCTGCATCAGTCACCACCATGCTGTATTTAACATATTCAACTCACCCCTAGTCACTACTGAGGTTCATGAACAAAACTATTTCCAGTACTATGACTACTGTGCAAAAAATGTGGACAAATTTGTGGAAGTACTAGACAATGAATTAACTAGTGATCCACCAGAAGACTTCAGTAATTTTTTCACTGTATTTAATCATCAACTAGACAGTGCATGTAAACTAAACCAGCCTAAGTGTTCTAAACGTACTGCTAAGAATAATCCATGGATTACATCAGGCCTGATTGCCTCTATAAATAGAAAACATGAGCTTTATGACCTGTGGAAAAAGGCAGTTAAGAAGAAATGCCTCAACGCCTCTTCAACCAACCATGCAGACTGTCTTACCCTTTGTTTTAATTGTACAAATAAAGTAACACGTCATGAAGAATTTAAGGCACACCGGAAGTTATTAAACCACCTTATTAATTCTGCAAAACGTAAGTATCATGGTGTTAAGATTACAGAATGCGCTGGAGATAGTAAGAAAACTTGGCAGATAATTAATGAACTGCGTGGTAAGAAGAGACGTGAGATTAAACCTAACTTTGTGATAAATAACGAGCGTGTGATTAATCGGCGTGTAATTGCAAATGAGTTCAATAAATACTTTGCCTCTATTGCAGCTAACTTGAACGAAGCTTACTCTGGTGACTTCTTAAGAATAAATTCCCTGCCGTCATTTACTGATTACCTGCCCACATCAGTTACGTCCAGTATTTTTCTTTGTGATTGTGACTGTATTGAGATTAAAGAGATCATAAACGAACTAAAAAACGGGAAATCTAGTGACATACCTATTCATGTGATCAAGAAGTCGTGTCAAATTACTGCACCGTACTTAG